TTACAGAATATTTTGAAAAGTATTTTTTTTTTCAGAATTCCATATATCTAAAAGACACAAGCTATAATAGAGTATCCTTAATTTTTGTTCACATGAAGATTCTCAGTCAAATCTCATGTCAAGAAACACATGCAGCTGAACAGCACTAAGCATTCATACTGACGTATTTTTGATATCTCTAAAGTGTGAATTAATGGAAAACAAAAAAGGATGTGTTGATACACTATATTGCCAAAAGTATTTGCTCACCCATCCAAATTATTGGAATCAGGTGTTCCAATCACTTCCATGGCCACAGGTGTATAAATTCAAGCACCTAGGCATGCAGACTGTTTTTACAAACATTTGTGAAAGAATGGGTCGCTCTCAGGAGCTCAGTGAATTCCAGCGTGGAACTGTGATAGGATGCCACCTGTGCAACAAATCCAGTCGTGAAATTTCCTCGCTCCTAAATATTCCACAGTCAACTGTCAGCTGTATTATAAGAAAATGGAAGTGTTTGGGAACGACAGCAACTCAGCCACGAAGTGGTAGGCCACGTAAACTGACGGAGCGGGGTCAGCGGATGCTGACGCGCATAGTGCGAAGAGGTCGCCAACTTTCTGCAGAGTCAATCACTACAGACCTCCAAACTTCATGTGGCCTTCAGATTAGCTCAAGAACAGTGCGCAGAGAGCTTCATGGAATGGGTTTCCATGGTCGAGCAGCTGCATCCAAGCCATACATCACCAAGTGCAATGCAAAGCGTCGGATGCGGTGGTGTAAAGCACGCCGCCACTGGACTCTAGAGCAGTGGAGACGCGTTCTCTGGAGTGACGAATCGCGCTTCTCCATCTGGCAATCTGATGGACGGGTCTGGGTTTGGCGGTTGCCAGGAGAACGGTACTTGTCTGACTGCATTGTGCCAAGTGTAAAGTTTGGTGGAGGGGGGATTATGGTGTGGGGTTGTTTTTCAGGAGCTGGGCTTGGCCCCTTAGTTCCAGTGAAAGGAACTCTGAATGCTTCAGCATACCAAGACATTTTGGACAATTCCATGCTCCCAACTTTGTGGGAACAGTTTGGAGCTGGCCCCTTCCTCTTCCAACATGACTGTGCACCAGTGCACAAAGCAAGGTCCATAAAGACATGGATGACAGAGTCTGGTGTGGATGAACTTGACTGGCCTGCACAGAGTCCTGACCTCAACCCGATAGAACACCTTTGGGATGAATTAGAGCGGAGACTGAGAGCCAGGCCTTCTCGTCCAACATCAGTGTGCGACCTCACAAATGCGCTTCTGGAAGAATGGTCAAAAATTCCCATAAACACACTCCTAAACCTTGTGGACAGCCTTCCCAGAAGAGTTGAAGCTGTTCTAGCTGCAAAGGGTGGACCGACGTCATATTGAACCCTATGGATTAGGAACGGGATGTCACTTAAGCTCATATGTGAGTCAAGGCAGGTGAGCAAATACTTTTGGCAATATAGTGTATATTGGGTCCTAAACAGTCAGTCTGTAAATCCAAAGTGTTTGTGTTTATGTTTTTACGAATCTTTTTCTTTACACCATTTCATTCCTCATTTTGGACCCACAGCGACTTACTGCTCCATCCATCCTGACTGTAATTAGCTCAGATTCACCCACATTAGCTCCAAATCCTCTTTAACTTCTGGTGAGCACTCAACACTAAAGCATTTATGTAATTTGAGACCACTTAAGATATCATACATAGTTCGCTGTGTTTACAAAAATTTATGCACATGCAAAAAAAAATTTGTGTATTAGTGCAGTAGAGGTGTGTCTGCAGTCTGGTTTCTATCAAGCAGTTCCCAGAGCAACTAATCACCAACTATCAGAACTCAGCACAGTCCAGAAAGATCACGTTTCGAGTCTGCAGGTCAAAGTCACTGCGTGAACATTCATTAGTAACTTATGAAGGAAATGAAAGCCAGATGAGTCTGATATAATCTAATAAAGTTTTGTTCTGCTCCCTTGTGGTCAAATAAAGTCTTAAGTGTTACGTTATAAAAAGAATGCTTTTGAATCATAAATACTGTATATACATATATATGTATATATATATATATATATATATATATATATATATATATATATATATATATATATATATATATATATATATATATATATATATATACAGGTGCTGGTCATAAAATTAGAATATCATGAAAAAGTAGATTGATTTCAGTAATTCCATTTAAAAAGTGAAACTTGTATATTATATTCATACATTACATACAAACTCATATATTTCAGATGTTTATTTTGTTTAATTTTGATGATTACAAATGACAACAAATGAAAATCTCAAATTCATCATATCAGAAAATTAGAATATTACTGAAGACCAATAAAAACAAAGGATTTATAGAAATGTTGGCCAACTGAAAAGTATGAACATGAAAAGTATGAGCATGTACAGCACTCAGTATTTAGTTGGGCCTCCTTTGGCCTGTATTACTGCAGCAATGCGGCGTGGCATGGAGTCGATCAGTCTGTGGCACTGCTCAGGTGTTATGATAGCCCAGGTTGCCCTAATAGTGGCTTTTAGCTCTTCTGAATTGTTGGGTCTGGTGTATTGCATCTTCTTCTTCACAATACCCCATAGATTTTCTATGGGGTTAAGGTCAGGAGAGTTTGCTGGCCAATTAAGAACAGGGATACCATGGTCCTTCAACCAGGTACTGGTAGCTTTGGCACTGTGTGCAGGTGCCAAGTCCTGTTGGAAAATGAAATCTGCATCTCCAAAAAGTTGGTCAGCTGCAGGAAGCATGAAGTGCTCTAAAACTTCTTGGTATGTGGCTGCGTTGACCCTGGACCTCAGAAAACACAATGGACCAACACCAGCAGATGACATGGCACCCCAAACCATCACTGACTGTGGAAACTTTACACTGGACTTCAAGCAACGTGGATGAAGTGCCTCTCTTCTTTTCCTCCAGACTCTGGGACCTTGATTTCCAAAGGAAATGCAAAATTTACTTTCATCAGAGAACATGACTTTGGACCACTCACCAGCAGTCCAGTCCTGTTTCTCTTTAGCCCAGGCAAGACGCTTCTGACGATGTCTGTGGTTCAAGAGTGGCTTGACACAAGGAATGCGACAGCAGAAACCCATGTCTTTCATACGTCTGTGTGTGGTGGTTCTTGAAGCACTCACTCCAGCTGCAGTCCACTCTTTGTGAATCTCCCCCACATTTTTGAATGGGTTTTGTTTCACAATCCTCTCCAGGGTGCGGTTATCTCTCTTGCTTGTACACTTTTTTCGACCACATCTTTTCCTTCCCTTCGCCTCTCTATTAATGTGCTTGGGCACTGAGCTCTGTGAACAGCCAGCCTCTTTAGCGATGACCTTTTGTGTCTTGCCCTCCTTGTGCAAGGTGTCGATGGTCGTCTTTTGGACAACTGTCAAGTCAGCAGTCTTCCCCATGATTGTGTAGCCTATAGAACTAGACTGAAAGACCATTTAAAGGCTTTTGCAGGTGGTTTGAGTTAATTAGCTGATTAGAGTGTGGCACCAGGGGCCATCAATTTTGAACCTTTTCACAATATTCTAATTTTCTGATATGATGAATTTGAGATTTTCATTTGTTGTCATTTGTAATCATCAAAATTAAACAAAATAAACATCTGAAATATATGAGTTTGTATGTAAGGTATGAATATAATATACAAGTTTCACTTTTTAAAGGGAATTACTGAAATCAATCTACTTTTTCATGATATTCTAATTTTATGACCAGCACCTGTATATATATATACTTTATTTCTAGCACCTACAGTTTAAGTAATTTAATAGTAGTTAATAAAATGTGCATTTCTGCTAGAAAGAAGAAAAAAAAGATAATTTATCCCACCTAAATGTGGAATCAACTCTAATTTCTCCTAATCCTAAATTTATTAAACAACACAATACAGTTCGTATTGATTGAAACTGAGTTTAGTCACAACAACAGATCACATAATTTTGTGAGATTACAATTTAAAACATTAAATTAGTATTAAAGTATTAAATGAATATAAAATGAGGGTTTTTAATTTGTTTTTAATAAAAAATAATTGTTCAGTGATGTTCTGTAAAAATATCTCCATAAATTAGGTGACTTCTGAAGCTGTTTTGGGGTTATGGAGAATATTAGGTGATAGAAAAAAAACACCCTGCAAGCATGTTGTAGATTTATATCTTAAAATAATTTTAACCTTCCATATTACAAATATGCATCAGTTTCTTTTAAGTTTTCACATAAATCCCTCCAAAATATTGGAGTGTTGGTTTTTCAAAAAAAACAACACAGGAATTTAATAGTTGTGGAATCCTTTACAAGGCACTAAATATGCACAAGATGTGATTAGAAGCAGCATCATATAACCCATGTACACAATTGTGCACTTTCTTGCATCTCAGAGCCTTCTGTGAATTGAAATGTGATAACCCTCTGGGACCAAAGAGACCCAAAATGCTGCATTTGTCAAACTAATAAGTGGAAGTTTGAACTTTTTTTTCTTCTAATTCCTGTCAGAATCTTCTGCTCAGATTCTCACAGGGAAATTATCAGCATGTTGTCTGATGTGACACTTGAATTATTGAGTGCAATATACAATCCCTCCTCTTGGGGTTGCATGCACACAGACTCGGCAGTTTGTGTTTGGGAATGAGCCCCGAGTTTACAGTGCTACGGTTGAACTGGAAGACTACAGGCCCTCAGGATATTGAAAATGTCTTTTTTTAATTGTGGCACCACCAGCAGCTACTTATTGGACAGGGAGAGCTGAGAGAGTGTTAACTGACCCCTCAGAGTAAATGTTGATGTGTGTGTGCTTGCAAGAATGCAGCGGCCCCTCAGAGTCCCCCTTTACCTCACCATGGAAACTATGTCAACACACTAGTCGGGTAGAGTGAGAAAAAAAAAGAAACCTATATGAACTGCCAGGAGTGTGTATGTGATGTATTATTAGTTGGGAGATATTTGACCTCACCTCTCTTCTGATTTCTCTCTGGTGCTTTCACTAGCTTGCTAACTCAGATATGAACTTCAGGGCAGTTAAATCATTTTCTGTCACTTTTATAGTCTGCAGACTTTCACTCAGTCGATTTATTAAACATTAAAAATCCACATTACGGATCTAACTCACTCAGAGACAGTAAAAAAAGATGGAGGAATAAGACGAAGTACACTAAAGGTAGGTTAAGACTTTTTCTCATTAGCTTGACTCATGTTTCTCTGGAAAGGTCATTTTGCTAGACAGGCCAAGGTCTGATTACAAACAGGGCTCCTAAATCATAGAATTTGTTAACTAGAACCTGTCAGACAACATGAAGTAGGATAAAAGGTTTCAATAGAGTAACACATCATCCCTTGATCTGAATTAATCATGAAAAAAAATAAAGACAAAGAGACGAAATTCCTTTTTTTAATTATCAGTCTGGAGAGAATTACAAAACAATTTCTAAGCACGTAGGACAACGAACGGTGATTAACCTTCCCAGGAGCAGCTGGCCTGGGGAATATTACTCCAAGAGGGAGTTAACAGCCCATCCAAGAGGTCATAGAAGAGCCTAAAGCAAGGACTGGGCTCCTCAATTATTCTGTTAACGTCAAAGTTCAGGATTTAATATCAACAGAGACAGTAAACATGGCTGACATAAGAGTTTCAACACCACAACCCCTTCTAACAAAAAGATATAACAAAAAAAATGTCTTTTATTTACCATTTGGGTACAAATGCATCTTGTTAATTCTGTTGTAAAACTAAACATGGAGCCTAGGCGGAAGTTCAACTGAAGAAACTCATTTGCTCTTCATACGGATATATGAATAAGCTTTGAACCAAACCTCCACGAAAGCCAATCGTCATCCAAAGCTCATCTTAAAAGGCCTCCGATCCTCACCTGTCTGCTCCTGTGCGCAGGCGGCGGATGCGCTATGTGACTTCATTCAGATGACACCGTTTCAACCCACCTCCAGCCCCTCCTCCACCATCGTAGCTAAAGCTTCATCAGTGTCATTCCTCCCGGACTCTTACTGCGTTCCCTGTCTCATCTCAAACGGTCCGGCAGAAGACCGCCATGTTTAGCCTGGTTCTGCCAGAGGTTTCTTCCCAACGAGGAGTTTTTCCTCTCCACTGTCACTTCATGCTTGCTCATCATGGACAGGTTCTCTCAACCTGTGTTATCCAACTGGTCTTCCATCTTCCAGGCACCTGAGTGAAGCTGTAGTATCAGCTCATGCAATCCAATGGATCTCCCCATAAAGCTCAGCAGACCATCTCGCTAACCAGCAGTCTACAGACTGACCAACTTCATCTATCTCCACTCCACCACCAGTTTCAGGCCTGGGGGGGAAACAGCCCTATTCTTTGCTCCTGTTCATGCATATCTATCAAAGTTAATGCTATGTTTCCTGCCAAGGTCTGAGCGCCAAAGACTAATTGTAATTGTATCAATACATTTCTCCTAATTGTCTTTTCTCTTTGTGTGAGATTTTCAGATTAAACTTCTGTCTGAAGCTTTATAATAACTTGGTGATTAAGCCAGCATATGCCGACTTACAAATAATTTGGCAAAACGGCTGGTGTACGATGGATAAGTTATGGGTAAGTTTTGTATAAGCACGCTGGCACATGTCGACATACGGCAAGTACGTATGCCAGTGTATGCTCATATGTGGCCATAAGTTACAGGTTAGTTAGATCGTTAACACACATAAATTCTAAATTACTCATAAGGCATGGTGTCAAGCTTATCCACAAACCTATAAGTAACTTGCACATAACTTATACAGAACTTATTAAGAACATCCCTAACGCACATCGACATGTGTAGGTATATCTGACATTTTCCAGACAACCATTGAACTTGTTTCTAACTTACAGCTATGCGCCTTAGCTTGATCCTCCCAGAGCTTTGCCTTCTTGTCCAGCCTCTGGTAGTCTATAATTATTCGCTAATTTGCGACTCGTGGACATTAAGACAAAACTGTGTGTTCTTGGCCCTCTTCTTTTTGGGAATGGTTGCCTGAGAGGGGAAGGCCACGGATGCAGCTGCCGATGCCATTGACAATGCCAACAAACTTCCTAGCAGACTCGACACTCAATATGCTGCAACTGCAAACCTTATTCCTTTCTTTTTTTTTTCTTTTTTTTTTTTTGGCAGGCGGTAAACAACAGCTAGAGAAATCTTCTTGTGCATTTTATGCAGGCCGGGTGCCTCCGGGCGCATTGCTGCCTCCTCAGGAAGTTCTGGACTTGTTGTGAATACTCTCTCTCTCTCTCTCTATATATATATATATATATATATATATATATATATATATATATATGCCCAAAATTGAAAAAATACATAGAAAGTTCAACATGTGCCAATCTTTTAAAAGATTCTGGGAGATCAGGCATATGTTGGCTAAATTGTCAAGGTGTGACAGCGCAATAAACCAGTATTAGAAACTGCACACCATGGAGTCAAACAAGGTTTTAGTAGAGGGATGATCAAAACAAAATAAGGAACTGGAATGGCATTATCAAACTTTGGACTTATATGGAATTAAGATACTATAGCATGCCCAGAAACAGGCCATTGGTATAAGAAAACTCTTCATTGTGTCAGAATTAAAATGGTTTTGCAGAGACAAGTGTAGTGGTTTTTGCCTCCAATTACTGCATTTTAACTATATCTTGTTTTTCTACTCACCTTTTTCTATCTAGTGTGGAGAGGCAGCCTAGTGTTTAGGAATCCTGAGGTTCTGAGTTGGAACCCCACTCCCACTGACTGCCACTCTGGGTGTCTGAGCAATACCCTGAACCCCACACCGCTCTCCAGGAGCCACATAATGGCAGCCCACTGTTGACCAAGGGAAGAGGTCAAATTCTCCAAAGCGAGATCAATAAAGTTCAATTATGTTAGTTTTCCATTTGGGATCTGAAACATTTAAGCTAGACAACAACATATTTAACTATACTAAATCTTTTTCCTCCACAGCAGATGCCAAACAGTGCAGAGACAGAGCAGTCCTCCTGCAGGGCATCTCCTTGTATGGCTGTGCCTCTACAGCATGGCGCTGCTCAGCCACCAGCCACTACAGCCTCTCTTTTATACACAAATAAGTGGTGTCATCACTCTTTGCATTGTCACTCTCCTCCCCCCTCTGTTTGTGTCCGTGGCATACGGCCAGTGAGCCTCTCAGAGAAAGACGAGGCTGCACCAACTGTTGCTCCTCCATACTTCAAAGACTGTTTAAATAAAAGTTAGGTACTGCTGGCAAGTTTGAAGAAAACCTGAAAAAAAAAAACGATTGATAAAGAACAGTCGGTCAAAGTTCTGATGATCTACGCAGGACTCATTTTAGTTTACAGTTAAGCTGCAGACGTCCACCAGATCCAGACACTTGTTCTCAAAGACGAGTTAGAGACCAATGACCCACCGGTGGATTTTATTGGTGTTGAATCATTCCAGGATCTACGCCCTCACCCTTTCCTGTCATCTGACTTTTATAATGCATCTGATTCAGACCTTCAAACAGAGGGGAATGACTAAATATAAGCGATGTAAAGTTATACTAAAAGCCCTGTGCAGCATTGAGTTTTCGGTACTATTTGCCAATTGGGTGAAATGTTTATCTAAATTTTAAAGAATCTATGAATCCCTTTGATTCTGCAGGAATAATCAATCCGCCATAACTAAGTTTTAATCATTTACAGCTTTCATGTTGCTTTTACATTTATTTTTCTAGATTCATCTCCACTTTTACACATCAAATCTATCTTGTCTTGTTTCCTTCTTCCCTTCCTTCTTTCCTCATTTACATAATTGCATTTAAAATCAAAATCATTATACCACAACTGAATCAAAAGCAGCAGGAAGAAGATAAACTTGTAACACCTGCCCCTACATTTGGTACCAACCATACACAACCAAATCACTAATATAGAGGGGAATATATAGAGAACACAAGTATGAATTATAAATTCCTACATCTTCCAGTGCACAAAAGCTCAAGTTGGCTTCTTAAAACCTTTTCTTAAAAAGAAAACACATGCAAATCTTTAGGTTAAGATTTTGGGAATACACGCAACAGAAAAACACGTTTCTTTTAACGTCAACCAACTAAACCTTGGATTAAAATCCAACTAGCCTCTGCAGTCCTTCTAATTCTAATTCAAAAAGGTTCTGTAATCGTTCTGGTATATGTTATTCTTTACTTTATGCATTATTATCTAAGTCTGAAGCTCAACTAAATCCATTATTTTCAATAAACCAGAACAAACAAGAAATATGTTGGTATGATCTCTATACCCTACTTTATATATTATTCTTATGGTTCTTTTCTTTCACATTTAAACCTGGTTTAGAATAAAATTGACAAATGGCTTGCTTTAAAAAACCAGTTGGAAATAGTGACACGTTTAAGTCCTGTACAATAATCATTGCCTTAAATTTGTATTTACATCCAAATTGTAATTTAGGGTAATGAGTTAAATCCCTATAAGGGATAAATAAAGGAAAGTCAGTTTGACTTTAATATTGGTGCTCCATGTCTTGACGTCAATGCCCTTAGCCGTTGGTTCCTCTTATTTTTTTTATTTTAGAGACACAGTAACTGCTTAAGTATATTTTTTTTATCACAAATAAATAATGTAAAACTAACAGGATACTGATATTCAGGTCAGGCTTTAAAAAAAATAATAATAATCACGTTGAAGGGTGAGGTTTTAACCCTCTGTGACCCAGATTTGCTCATCCTGCCATATTTGGGTATAGAAATGAAGAAGGGTTGGGTTTCTGCTCCGAGTGGGATGTAGAATCTGTAGAGTAATTTGGAGCTCCATCATTTCATGGTAATATAAACCCTGGAAGTGAAGCGGGATGGGGGCAGCAGAAAACATGTCACACTTGAGAAACACTCTTACCAGACTGCACCTCATCACCGCTCATGCTTTAAATTACACAATGTAAACTGAAATTACCAGCTCAAGAAGGCCACTGGGTCAAAGTTCCTATCTCTGTTTTTCCACTATCTTAAAACTTTGAATCCCTATAATGTCCAGAATCTGATATATATATATATATATATATATATATATATATATATATATATATATATATATATATATATATATATATATATATATATATATATATATATATATATATATATATATATATATATATATATTTATATTCAAGGAAATTTACTCCCATTTGCTTTGATATTGGTGTTTAAAGGGCTCCAATAATCACAAAGAATGTGTACCTCTGTAAATTTCATCATCTGTCTTGCATTTTTTTTTTAAAGAGGATGCATATATTAAAACAAACAAAAAAACAATTAAAGTTTGAGTAAGGGCTTATAAGAAAGGAGACGCTTCAACTTGTGAACAATGATGTAATATCTATACTCCCACAATTTGTTCCTAGAAACAAAAATCAGGCTGTTTTGGTTAAGTGAATCAACAGTCAAACACTCAGGGAACAGGCAGTCGACAGCCAGGCCATCAAGGCACCAGTTGGTGTTGTTCGTTAGCATAAAGTTGGACAGCAGATTTAATTTCTTTAACTTAACAATATTTATTTCCAAATGGTCACTCTCCATCATAACCTACACAGTTTTCTTTTTTGTTTACCCTGTTTCCGAGACAAGTTAAGGATTCAGTTCAATTCAGTTTATTTTAAAAGCGCCAATTGACAACACGTCATCTCAAGGAACTTTACCAGATCATCCAGTCAAATTGATTTAAAGTTTTCTATCTAAGGAAAACCAGTTGATTGCAGCGACTCATTGACTCAAAGGCAATCCCTCCTACAAAGCATGCTTGTAGCGACAGTGGGGAGGAAAGATGCTGTCGACTTGTTCATTTAAATGATAATGAGGACAAAGTGATGTCCAGAACTGGTACTGAAATAGCAATGTTATCCTAAATGGTGCCAAAATTTTGTTTAATTTTGTTTTGTTTTTTGTCACACCATTCATCTCATTCTATGATACAATTCAGGCAGAATTCACCACAGAATGGACTTTAAATCTCCAGAAATGGCGTGGTTTATTAGGTCTCTAATAGAGAGCCTCTGCTCTCCGACAATATTTCTTTTAACTCCCTCTTTGAATAAATCATCATAATCATATAAGTCTTTATTTTTATTTAATTTTTTTTTTTACTCATATAAAGATTGGAGACTTCAGTAATACTACTTTTCACCTCTTCTGGGAATTTCCCGGTGCATTTAAATGCATAATTTCTCAATCCTGCTCCTCTGGACCCAATGCCCAGCATGTTTTAGAAGTGTCTCCGCTCCAGGACCCCTGACTGAAATGATTGCATTGCTTCATGAGCAGCCATTAAGAGCCAGCAACAGCCTGTCAATCAGCCATTCGTTTAACCCTGGTGCGTTTATTCTTATTGTTTAAAACCTGTGTTTATTGACTCACCTCAAACTCCTAGATAAAACAAAAGGATAAAATTATTCTCAATTTCTGATATGATTTGCTTGAAGATTTCCATCCTAATTAGCTTCCCCTTCAAAATCTCTCTGTTTGCACCCTTATCCTTGCAACTTTACAAATTATCTTTTATAGCTCCCATTTTAGCTATAAAGGTATCTTTACCTAAATGGTTATGGATGTTTTCATGTATAACAGTGTGCTGAAATGATATGAGCAGTGGAGCTCACTTTAGCTTTAAACTAATGGTCACTTGGCATTAAAAAGAAAATGCTTAGATGTTTAAGCACATTATTTATACACACACTTCCCACATTCGTTAATCTGCTCCAGTGTGCACAGCACAGATCATTGTGCATGAATTATATAAAGCTATAAAGGGAGTCTGAACCAATAATTATCATTGTGGCCGATCATTATTCTGCTTGTTACGACGCTATGTGGAGGCTCACTCGAAGCCTGAGGCCGGCGTGCTTTAACCTCTTTTCCACTTGGCCAGATTCAGTCTCATTTCATGACCAAATGAGGAGCTCAGGGTTTCAGGATGGATGGTGGCCATCAGGGTGCCAATCTTCACTCACATCAACTTAATATATCAGGCTATCTTTATTATTACTCATAAAAGATTCTCTAAATCCTGTTTTATTTTAGCTGCATGTTGTTTTTTCCCCCAAGGAAAAATAACATGATAGAAAATACGGTGAATGTATTGCCTATTATTTTTTCCCCCCACATTTTTCATTTTTGCACTGAGAGCTAAAACCACAATAGAAATATAGTCAGATTTACCGAAACACTTCTACACAACCCATCAGGAAAACCTATTAGCAAAGTTCCTTTATCAAACTAAACCCTATTTTATTATGTTGGACCAGGATAAGAACAGTTTATTGACACATTTTGAAACATAATTTTAAATACCATAGATGGTAAAAGGCCATAGCAGCAAACAACTAGCCAATGGTCCATGCAAATATAACCACAGAAATATAGCATGTAATAAAGCAATGTTCTGGAAGTGCTCCTCCAAGTAACCGGTTAGTTCCAGGGTAGGTACCAGAAAGTTCTTTGTAAGTTTGTCACCCTTGTCATCTCAAGGCACTTTACAGGGTCAAACTCAAAGTTTCTATCAAGGTAAAGCATATGATTTCATCAAGTCATTAGGTGCGTTTCCATTAACTATCAAATTGCATAAAATGTAATTATGAAAATAAATTTGCTTCAAGGAAAACCTACAATTGCAATATAATAAAACCTTTTTATGCTTTAATGGGGTGGTTTGTCGGTTGTTTCAGACTTGCCATATTAAGGAAAACTTTTTTTTTTCCCAGGAAACCCAAATCATTGAAATTGATGTATACACGCTGCAGTGGTCCCGTGTTTAGTCCCAGTGAGTACATGGGCTAAACAGAAAAAAGTGAGGGACGTGCTTTTGGTGAATTTCAGAATAAAATCAATTAACTTAATGTACCTTATTACCTTATAGACCAAATGGTAAAATAGAGACATGAGAAATTAGAGGGGTTATTTCAGGGTGAAAAAACATATTTATGCAGTTGGATAAAAGGTTTTGCACTTGAACAAGAAAAAGCACAAACTGTGTTTCTGTAGCCAGAGCTATAGCTGCACCAGGCTGGCACTGTTTCTAACTTTATTTGTAGCTATATTTAGTGACTTTTTAGACTCCTCCTACATATCACTTTCAAAAAAGGAACTAGACACACATCTAGGTTAATAATTATAGATCAGAGTTCACCGTTTCCAGTGAGAAGTGAGTTTCACTGTGAGCCGCTCCTACTTCCAAAGCACTGACAGGTAGGCTGACTCAGCAACTCATCATGTGTCAAGATTTTTTCTCAAATGCTCAATAAGGGTTTTTAGAGTTTCCCTAGGAAAAAAAGATGACCTGTCTGGG